CAAAAACTTTTACACAGCTCGTTTGCTGAACACAATGAATAAAAGAATTATATTGAATGGAGAAGAAGCATTTGTGGTTCCCAGTATTTTTAATTGTAACATACACATCGTTACTTTTCAAAAAAACTATCCATATAAAAAACTTCTCAATAAAGATGTAAGTAATTTTTGAAAGTTCTTTCGAATATTACTTTTACAAATTTTGTTTACTTGTTAAAGAATTTGAAGAATATTTTGCATATACAATAAAAAGATAAAACTTTTCGGTTTATTTTTAATTGTAGATAAAATGGCCAATGCAGTCGAAGAAACATTAGATTTGGTTATTATTGGAGCGGGATGGTCTGGTCTTCTTGCCTGCAAATATGCAAAAGAAGAAAACTTAAAAGTGAGAGTTCTTGAAACGAGAGATGATTTAGGAGGAGTTTGGAACTTCAGTCCGGACCCTAACGTTGTTACTGTAATGAAAAATACATGCACAACCTCGTCAAGTTCTGTTACAGAAATAAGTGACTTTCCCATGCCAAGTAAAATAGGCAACTTTCCAAAACACAGCGATATATGGGAATACTTGAATAGCTATGCTAAGAAACATGATTTACGAAAAAACATTCATTTTAGTTGTCGAGTTTCAAAAATATTTAAAGAAAATGGAGTGTGGATTATTTGTACTGAATTAAATTTTACTTACTACGCAAAAAATTTAATGATCTGCACGGGTGTTCATCAAAAAGCTAATCGTAAATTAGAAGAAACTTTATTTAAAAACTACACTGGCGAGCTCCTTCATTCAGGGTGTTTAAAAGAATTTCGCAAAGAGCATCAAGATCTACGCATTATGGTTTTGGGTGGTGGAGAAACATCTAGTGATGTTTTGGATGAGTGGTATCCCCATGTTAAATCAATTGTTTGGTGTATTCCTCGTGGTCAACACTTTTTCCGAAAGTATGCTAAATTGCTCCCACACCGTGAACCGCAAGCACTCGACAAAGCTTCTTCAAGAGCTTTGAAACTTATATCACCTCAAACAAAAGGAAAACCAGGTTAGAGGCATTTTTTGAAATTAGTGCAATGTTATGTATTATTATAAAATACTTGTACTTTTAGTTCAGCCTAATTTAAAGTAAAACAAAAAAAATAAGTAGCCTATAAATAATAGCCCTTTGTGGCTAAGGGAGCTAAATGATACAAATTAACAAAATCGTTTAAGTTTTTATTCTTGGTTTAGGGCTAGCGTGGATATGTCGATGGACCACCAGCGGGTCTTTATTGGCTTATGAAGGCCATGGTATACCTGAGTTTAGAAGCAACAACCAGTTTTTTCATGCCTTTATTAATAAACATGCGCATGTACTAGATTATATCGATTACAAAAAAGTTATTCCTAAAGGCCCTATTGATAAAGTTGTAGGAAAAGAAGTTTTTTTTGCTGATGGTACAAGCGCAGAGGTTGATGTTATCATTCAGTGTACTGGATACCAAGTTGACTTTCCATTTTTGCCAGATGCCTACAAATGTAATTTTTCTGATCTTTACAAGCTTGTTTATGATGTCAATGATACTTCATTGTCATATATTGGATACGCTAGACCAGTCATTGGTTCTATTCCTGGAATGGCTGAAATGACATCCAGATGGGTAGTTCGAGTAATCGCTGGTCATGTAAAACTAGCAACTTTTGAGGAAAGAGCACGAGTAGTAGAAGAAGATAAAAAATATTGGGAACAGTACTTTCAAACAACCTCAAGAAGGATCACAACTTTGGTTGAAGCTTATACTTATATCGATTCTATAGCTAAGCTTAGCAATTGTTATCCGGATTACTGGGCACTTTTCAAAAAAAGTCCTAAAGATTTTTTTACTGCATATTTTGCACCGTATAACGGCTGCTGTTATCGACTAAACGAGCCTGATCATTGCGAACAAGCTTTAAACACTTTGCGGCATCACAGTAAAGGAACAATTACCCCCTGGAATTTGTTGACAATTTTGTTTTTTCGGATTATTATGTTTGATTGGTTTTGCGACATTCTTTGTAACATTAAGTATAAAATGCAAACAAGTCCATTAATCCGATATGTTCAAAAATGGAGGGTTATTCGATTTCTAGATTACATTTGGTGTACGCCTAAACGGCTTTTGTTTGATAACAGAAGTAAACCACGCTAAAGAAAAAAACTATTTATAATAAGATACAAATAAATTACTTTAAACAACTGATTTTTGTGCTAATTTATAAAAAAAACTAATAAAACAACTGTAAAGCATGCGCAAGTAGTAATTAAACGCAAGTTTAATTTTTATAAAAATTTTCTATTATGATGCTATCTTCGAAGAAATATAAGAACATTTTTATGGAAACTTATTTGATTCGCTATTAAACAAAACTATTGTTTTGAACCCATTATCATGTTAAATTTTTTAGTTAATTATAATGATATTAATAATGGCTTTAGTTTTACACCAGGATTGACATTAATTTTACATTAGAACTTCTAGTATAAAGTCACTTCTAGTAAAGTGACCTTAATTTTACACCAAAAATGAAGTTGGTCTTACACCATAAATGGCGTTGATTTTACATTAGAAACAACACTGGTCTTACATTAGGAATAAATTTTGATAAAGATAAATTGAAAATATATTAAATTATTCTAAAGTGAGATTTTATTATAAGTATATAATATATAAAGTGAGATATTCTAAAGTAAAGAAGAGTGCACAAAATCATAAATTTGAATAGGGGAAGTGGGGGCATAACCGCATATGGAGGCACAACCGTTTTTTAACATTTCTCTTTGAAAAATATTATCTAATCTGGCAAAAAAAACTACCACACATTAGTAAAACAGTTTTCTTCATTTTTCTTATGTCAAAAAGAGTGCCTGCTATGTTTTTGAGAAGTTGTGCATAATAATGTATATTTTGATAAAAATATTATATTTACATCATATTTTTAAAGACCTTTTTTTTGAGGATAAAGCAATATTTGATTTTAGTGTTAAAGATATGTGTTATCAGCGTATTTCATCAGATAAAAACCGTTTTTAATATCAACATAACCTAATAAGCAAGCTATGAAACTGAATTCTTTCTAAAAACTGTCCACTGGGGCAGAACCGCATAGACGCACAGGAGGCACAACCTCATACTTTTATTATATATCAAAGTTATGTAATTACAAATAACAACAATTACAATCGTCACATTTGAATGAGTTCATGTATAAACTTGAATAGTTTTGCTTTGAGATGATAGAAAAGTTGTTTAAGATGTTAGAAAAGTTTTGTTTTGAGAAAAAGATGTTAGAAAAGTTTTTTTGTTAAAAAAGTTTTGTCCGAAAAGTTTTGAAAGAAAAGTTTTGTTTAAAAAGTTTTGTTTTTTTGTTAGAAAAGATGTTAGAAAAGTTTTGTTTTGAAAAAAAGTTGTTAGAAAAGTTTTTTTATTTGTTAGAAAAGTTTTGTTAAAAAAACTTTGTTAGAAAAGTTTGTTTTTTATTAGAAAAGTTCTGTTTTTTGTTAGAAAAGATGTTAGAAAAGTTTTGTTTTGAAATGTTAGAAATTAGATTTCGTATTTTTTTATTTAATTTTTATAAATGAGTTTTTGAATTAAAATAAAGCTAAGAGTATATCGAATAAGAAAACTGAGATTGTAAGTACAAAGAATGCCTACACAGTATACAAACGTGCAACAAAATCAGCAAATAATCTGAGATATGACAATTGTAAAGAAAATGTACCTAGAACAGTGAACCCCCAACGATTTTTGTAAGGGTGCGGTTGTGCCTCACAATGGGGGCGAAACCGTTTTTTTCACTAAGTGTAATTTTTGTGTAATAACATTTTCAAAACCCATCCAATTTTTTTCTTAAATGCATCAATTTAAAGCTTAATGATGCGGCTATTAAAATAAACTGCTAAAAAAACACATTTCGTTTTTATTTTCATATAACATTTATTCAAACGTTACGGGGGCGGTTATGCCCCCACTTCCCCTACATAAAAAATAAATATTGAGCAAAGTTGATCATTTTTTAATTTTCTAGTTAATTAAAATGTGGTCGTTCCGGATCTGTTCGGAAAAAAATTTTCTGATGCTTAGTTTGATTTACAAAGAACCCAAAAAGGGAGCCCATAACAAAATCTTCTTTCCAGAAAAAGAAATAACACTTGCTAAAATTAAAATTTATCTTTTTGTAAATTGCGTTAAAAATGTTTGTTTTTTGTAGGTTTATTATTTTCGTAAACATTTTAAAAAGATGTTAGGAAAAATAATTTTTGGGCTTCGGCTCACCTCGTGTCTATTAGGGTTTGTGCAGTGGGCCAGATATTAGTCATATGGTGGACAAAATTATTTAGATCCTCTTTTTTTTTTTTTACTTCTGAAACTCTTTAAATGTCCAAACAATCACTTTGTATTAAGATATATTTATTTTTATTATAAATTTAAAGAGGGTGAAATGGATTTCAGGGTTTCAACCCTGAAAGGGATTTCTGATGGTGGAAAACCCCTCAGAAATAAATTTTTGGAAAAAAAAAATAATTTTCTTGTTTTGTCCAAAGTTTATCAGAAAATTACAAACTTTTAAAATCATTTTTGAAAATTTGCTATAGATCTTCATTATACTAAATTTTATTGAATCCTAATATTTTTAGCTTCTTTAACAACCACCATAACAACGATACTTTTTTTACCTTTATTAAAAAATAGTCGCAAATTCATATTTTTTCATATTAGGCCAATTTACGATGTTGATAATAATGAAGTAAAAACTTTTCAAATAAATGTCTTCATGACCTTATCCAAAATAACAATGACTCTTTTAATATGGCTTTATGGATGACAGCGTCAAACCAGCTTACACAACAAATATGTTGATATGAGATAACTAGATGCAAAGTTTTAAAATTTTTACTAAGCTATTACTAATTTTATTAAGTCACTAAACTAAAAAAATTAACAGTAATTGCAATTTAGTGCGCTTAAAATATTTAACTTTTAAAAGCACTGGATCGCAATTACTTTAAAAATATATATATATTGGTGTTTGCAAAGAAACACTACATAAATCAGTTTTTAATATAAACTAATTTTTTTAAACTTTGTTGTATAGGCAGAAATGGCGCTCAACTATCGTGTGTGCAAAAAGATACTACATAAATCATTTTTTTAAATAAACTAATTTTTTTAAACTTCGTTGTATAGACTGGTTTGGCGCTCAACTATCCGTATGGAAACGTATACCGAAAGACCATTAAGTCTCGCTTACACAACTTAAATTTGGCACTTTTAAAGCAGTTGCTCATTTCAACATTGCTAGACAAGCAAGTGTTTCAGCTTTAGAAAAAATAACTTTGAGACAGGGTTGCCAAATTTTTTACGATATGCGGCAGTCAGAAATATATAAACACCACAAGGGAAAAAACTTCACATTTTGTAATTTTTCGGATTATTGCTGCTATTCTATATATAGTCATACATAGTGTATACTAAACTAATATTTAAGTGAAATAAAACAGTTATATACCTAGGAAATATTATTAAGAAAAAAATCTGTCCAGTGGAAAAAGAGGCATAGCCCGTTGAATGTAAAAGCAGTCACATATCTATACGATATTTTACGTCACGGGATTCAAGATTCCAATGAAATGTAACGCTGAATAACAACATCAATGATGTCGTTTGGTGAGCGCGTCAAACTTAAAAAAAAACAAATAATAATAATAATAATTGGAAGGTTAAAAGAAAAACTAAAAAAAAAAAAATTTCAAATCACACAACTAGACCAGAGTGCAAATACACAAGATTAAACTGTTTTAAAATTGTAACAGAAAATTATAAGATTTATTGAAAATGATATGCTTATTAGCTAGATTTAATGCACTGTCTTATAAAGATTTGCTAGATGATAGCTGGGCATATAACAGTGTGCGATGTATGATAGCAAGATAGCTGAGCATATAACAATGTGCGATGTCGCAAGAAAGTGACCACGAAAAAAAGTAATATCAAATTAAATAATAACTACAAATGCAAGGTTTTTTTAAATGCAAAAGATTAGTTTCATGCAAGTGTGATTCAATGCTTTTTTTTCAATCTTTAGTATCAAGAAAGGCAGAGTAGAGACAAAAAAAACAGGGCTGACGACGCCGATGGAAGTCAAATTAGAGACAGTAAAACAGGGCCGACGACACACACACTTTGCCCTTCTCCCCCCTCCTCCTCTATACAACACATTTTTCTAAAGTATTTGTTATTTTTTAAGAGAAAGTTCTAGATATAGAGGACTTTTTTTAGAAATAGACAATTATGTCCCTCTATTTCAAAACCCGTGTTGTCGGCCATGTAAAATGGAGACCTAGTGGGCACGGACGTAAAAAAGACGCCTTTTAAACGTCTTATACACGTTTTGGACGTTTTTTGAACGTTCAAAAGACGTCTTTCTTAGGTCCGGTGCCCACTGGGGACTGTCTACTACAGGTAGGTTTGCAAATTTTTAAAGATGTTCGAATTATTAAGATCAAGCTTTAACATTTAGGATTAAACTATTTACAGGGATAGGTCATTGAAGGTTTTAATAGGAGTCGTATGTAAAAAAGGTTTTATTTTAACAAAACAACTAGAGTAGAAATATACCAAAAAACTAATATGTTTATTTATTTTAACTAACCTTTAATATCTTTTTTTTGCTATGGAATCTACCAAAGGATTAAAGAGGGATGCACAATAAAAGACCTCATAGACTTAGTAATAATACTGGAAAAAGAATACATGATCACATTTTTGTCTTCAGAGGAAAAGAATCTCACTACTCGTTATTAAAAATTTAATGCATCTACTTGCCATAGGAGTTGAATATAAACAAAATGTATATAATGTTTAATAACCTGTATCCAGATCTGCAGATTTCTTATGAAACGTACAGAAAAATTTTAATAATTCGTTTGATACATAAGAACAGACGCCTGTTCAAAATGTAATGAAGTAATAAAAAACATTGAAAAAGCTTTTAAAGAACTTACCAAGAATCCTGACAATAAACAACCTAAGCAGGCTCTCCAAAAACACCATTTAGAAAAAGACGTTCATCAAGAAAAGCAGAAACCTTTTATAAAAGAAAACAAGAAGCTCGACTCAAGGCAATCAAACAAAAATTTTTTTGAAGCAATTGCAATTGATTTTAATAAAAACTTGAACCTGCCAACGTTATAATGCA